GGCCACGACCTCGGCAATTGGACAGCAGGGCGAGAATCGGAATGGTCAACAAGCACATGCGCAGGAAGAGTTTTCCAGTTCTGCCGACTGGTTCATCCCTCCCGCACCCGAAGTGGCCACGCGCAAAGGCAGACTACCCGGCTGCTTGGGAAGCTTGCACCAGTGAAGGATGTATTTCTAGATGCTTGCGGGGTAAAGTATGTGCAATCTTCCCACCCCTGATGCTGCGCGCATCGTGACAGCTGAAAAACAGACGTCATCGGATCCTCCGCTAATCATCCGAATCGGAACTGCTGGAAGAGGACGAGGCTAAGGACAATTGATCATCCTCGGGAAACACGTCCTGCACATGTTGCCGAACATCTCGCTTGATGATTGACTGCACCCCACAGACCCCGCGAGAAGGTGCCTCGGAAAGCTTGGTGAAACTGAGGCAGCCCGACATGCTCGGGGGCACGGGCTCGGGCATGTCCGGCACCACGGCCCAGAGATTAATGGCTACACTTTGCAGCTTGCTCTGCGTCTCAATGGCCAGACGGTTCCGGATGGCACAGCGATCCCTGTTCGCCAAGGCCCAGTAGCGTTCGCACTGCCCTTGCGACGTTGTGCAGGACCAAAACTTGTCAGCCATGACAGCCAGAGGCTTTGAAGGCTGGCCACTCTTCCACCATGAGATGACCTGCGCGGGCCAGGAAAGCGGGAACCAAGAAAATGATTTTAGCCAACCTCTAGAAAATCTTTTTTCACCTCCCCAACCCCAGCACCTCTGACAGAGGTGCATCCCATGCTGGGAAGTCCGTGTCCCGGAACAAGCCCTTCTTCGCGCGGTAGTCGTCCAAGTCAGAGACACAGGCCTCCTGAACCTCGGTCGAGTCGAAAAACTTCTTCGGGAGAAGCTTTCTGGCCATCACAAAAGCTGCATGCATGTGATCTGGCTCTTCGAGACCAGAAAGAGGGCGTGGGTCAAAAACGCTCGCCGCCAGCACCACGTCGTTGCAAAACTGCTGTCGCCGTTGTGCATAGAGTTCGCGCACTTTGTCCTTCCTGAGGTCCACCGTGCCATTGCTCTCACCGGAGTCCTTGAAGTCGCATGTGTCCAAGGCTTCCTCGAGGCGGCACTTCAAAAGGCACCATACGCCAAGTGCTTCTGGCAGCCTAGCGCAAGCGAAGACCTTGCTGGCGGAAGTCACTGCCCACATCACAGGGAGAGCACGTCTGACACGCGCCTCAAGGGCGCGGCGCTCAAGCGCCAGCAGAGCCGTCTGCAACTTTTTGCGTTGCTTGGTCGAATGTCCAAGCTTCTCAGGGCCTTCCTGTCGAAGTAGCTCGGCAACCTTTGCCCGGTGTTGCACCCATTTCACGGCCATCGTGGACCACGAATTGTGACGAGTTTTTCGCCTGTGTTGGAGGACCAACCCAGAGGCCTAGCAGGGAATGCGGGCAACAGGATCTCACCAGACTCACCTTTATTTGCCCTATACATCTCAACACGATGGAAAACCGAATCATCGAGTGTATTTATCGAAACCACAATCCCTACCCGGAGGCTTCAGGGTAGGCATTACACCCGAACGAAGAGGTTCTTGGCCTGCCTTCAGTTTCCCGAAGAACTTTTTGGAGCGGCGCACCGTACGGATTGCAGCGTTGACCTCCTTCGTCGCTTTCTCCAACCATGGTATCGCAGCTCGAACATCTTTGAGTAATAGCTGCATGCCGTGTTCCATGCAGCGTAGAGGGACCGCGAAGTCTTGACGCTCGGCAGCCAGCATGGCAATTGCGGCCTGCGAGTCCAGGCAAGAGCAAGGGCGACCAAAATGATTTTTGCCACCGCTGCAAAAATCATTTTGGCACTAGGAACCCGTATCGATTGAGGAACGTCCAAAATGATTTTTGCCGCCCCTGAAAAAATCATTTCAGCTTTGAGAGCCTTGTTCGCTCCTATCAGAACTTCCGCTTTAAATATGGAACAAACAAACCTGCAAAAGCTTTCAACACCAGAATTGGCCTGAATGTTGGCCGCATTGTCCGCGCATATTCCGAACACACTTTTGTGCCGTGTCCATGGCCGCAGCACTTCAGCGAGACCAACCGCCGTACTCTCACGTTCACTCATCGAAATATGGTCCAAATGGAAACACCTGCACAGAAATCCAAGCTGGTCAGCATCTTAGCCTTAGGGTTTAGGGTTGGGCACTCACACAATCTCCAAATTTGATGTTAGCACTCCGGCACACACCGCTGGAATCCATGATGCCGACGTTCAAAAAGCCGAGGCCAGAAATCGTCGCACCGTCGGTGCAAAGGCAAAATGGACCCTTCTGAAGAAGCTTGTTCTGATAGTCCTCCAGCTCCGCGGCTGTAGAATCCAAGACGGCTCGAACTTTGAACCGGGTTGGGCATTTGTAAGCTGGCGCCAGGTTCTTGAAGAACAGCTTTGTCATGTTGCTTTCTACGGACATGAAGGACTGGTGGTTGTAAAAGATGCTCAAAGCGTGCAGTCTCTCAAGACCTTCTTGATCCATCGCAGGCCGAGGCTGCGCCTCACCGGGCAGCATTGCTTGCGCCTCCGGAGTACGGAGAAGCTCAAACCAGAGCTTGGCAGCCGGATTCTTCTGTGCGTTCATGATCTTCAACTCTTGCGGAGTGACATGGCTGGGGTTGCTGCAACCATTGGTCCTGCTGCCAAAGTTTTTGTAATTTGTCAAGGCTTTTGCTCTCGTCTCATCATAGTCAAGCTCGCGAGATTCTAAGTACCTTTGAACATCCGAAGGGTTGGGGTTCGCGAAGTGCACGGCGTGCTCTACTCCCCTGCACACTCCTGTTGCCGTTGAAGACCAAGAGCACCGCCTACAGACAAGCTGTACCCTATTGGATTTCTTGCTGAGGATGCGAACGAAACGTGGCTCCAAAATGGCGAGCGCAGTTGCCGTCACCCCGCGAAGCTGCAGGGGCAGCATGAGATCTGCAGAGTCCACCTCATGGCCTGCAGTGCGAAGCTCTGCCAAGATGTCTTCTGGAATCCTGGTTTCCTTCTCAGCTTGCTCCCCGTCTGCTGTTGACAGAGATTTTCTCTTCTTCGGCGCCATCGCTACCACCCTGAGCCAAATGCTCTGCCAACGACAGCATGTTGGAAAATCCTGAAATTACGAGCTCTTGATCCTCATGCCAATTACCCAAGATCTGGCCCTGTTTCATGGTTGCTTTTGGAAAGCTTCTACGGGTCGCAAAGTGGAACTGACGCAGTATTGACCACAACTGTCGTAACGAAGTCTCTTTCTGCCAGACTGAGGGCCAGACCTCCGGCAGAAGACGTCGTAGTCCAGCTCCACTCCAATCGAGGATGGGAAGTTTGATGGCTGTCGGGCTCCAAAGCAGCGGAGCTGCTCGAAGGATTTTTAACGAACCCCAGAAAATCATTTAGCTTCCCCTTTAAGCTCCCTTTCAAGCCTCCTTGTAGACTAGGGCCCCCCTTAAGACCCCATCGGCCATGTCAAGATCGGTTATATTCCAAATCACATCGATGACTCCTACTCTACACCCTTCGTACATATCCATCCAAATCGCACGATTCGGCCTTCCCGATAACGCTGCGATTTCAAATCGCTGCGATTCAAACATCTAAGTGCCAGGCCGGTTGCAGTAAGGCAACCCTGAGCCTGTTGCCGCTGCACTGATGACTGGATCTGTGGTTGACAACGCCACTGTGTTGACCACATCTACAGGAAAGCTTCCTGTTGTCACGCGACGCACCCGCAAGGCATCGTAAAGGCCGATCTTGGACGAAGTCGGAAGAGGCGAATCCAACGCAGCTGTGGTCACGTACCAGGAAGCCCCTAGCTGTTCATTTGCCCATGTTTGAGCCAGACATAGTGACATTGCAGAACCAGCAACACTGCCAATCTCCAAACCGGCAAGATCCTCAACAGCAACACCCGGGTCAATTGATGTGCAGTGTCGATGAGGAAGACCTGCCTGGCCAACCAAGTCAAGCACCGCCACGATCTCCTGCGCATCTCCAGTGGTTCCGAAGTGTGCACCACGTACTTCCAGTGCTGTGCCGGCGCAGCAGGCCTTCTGGAGTCCTTTCTGGAGAAGGAACGAGTCACATGTTGAGGCTTTGGGGCTCAAGACCATCGCATTTAGGGTTTAGGGTTTAGGCCGTTTAGGCTATTTTGAGCCTTCGGGCAAGGGCTGGCGATAAGGGTGACAGGGTTGTAATTAACAAGCGTGCTATAAAGCTTCCAGGGGTCTAGGGGTTTTAGGATACAGGGCAGTGACAGTAAGGATGTGGCGCTGGGGTATATTCTACTAAAGTTTGTACTGATGCAACCACATGTAATAACTAGTCCTAACGACTCCTGAGTACCTGTATAAAACAGTGAAGTAGGATTTCTATGTTAGGAATTACCACTATGGTTTGGGTAAGTATCCCCCCCATACGGGTGATTCGGACCCTTTGGGAACTATTGAAGACCTCTTTGCCATGCATTCCTTCTGGTTTGGACTTGAGGTCTTAGGGCCCACAAAAGCACATAAGCAAAAATTAGGATAGGGATATCCCATATAAACCCCCTTATAATGAAGCCCAACAAGGTAGGGATATCCCTATAAAATGCTTATGCTTATGTCGTTTTTGGATCCCTGATACTGGGCTCCGGGCCCAGAAAGTTGTGTGGAATGAACGCGAGGCGGCTGTGGAGGCGCACCTATCCGTAGCAGCACGGTTTAGGGTTCAGGGTGTAGGGCTCCAAAAACCCTAAGCCTTACACCCTGATCCCTAAACCCTATAAGCCCTAAACCCTAAATCCCTTAATAGTGAGTACTTAAGCCATAAGAGAAAAGGATGAGTTCATGACCCGGTCGAGGTATATGATATACGGGTAGTTCTCTAAATTAGGATCCCTCCTTTTTCTGAGGGTGCCGTACTATGTTGGGGGCCTACACAGGGATGGATAGAGACTGACCCATGTGAAATTAGTGCTTCCAGAGTTCATTTAGGAGTTACGGGTTTCGGTTTAGGGTTTTGGGGTCCAGGGTTTAGGGTTTAGTCAGGATGCACGGGAGTAACGCGCTGCAGGCTTGTATCCTTGGCTGAGGGCTAGCCCGAAGCCCCGAGCCTGGGAACCTGAACTCTGAACACCCCGACAGGAAGCACGTGTAATATAGGGGCTTTAATTATGAGAATGGGGTTTTGGGACATATTTTATAGTAAGGAACTCCCAAAATAGTATAGGCAACTACTTGGGTCCCTACATTACCTCTAAACTCTAAACCAACATGCCAACCGCTAGATCCCTGTAAGCCCTAAGCCCTTGCTCTCGAAACGCGAAGATGATGCCCTTGCTTGGTATCGGTTGTCCCTGTTGAAGCCTACCTCATGGATTTGGGGGACTCAGTCGGCTAGCTTTGCTTTTTGTAGGCGTTTCAGACCCTAAACCCTAGCTAGTCGTCAAGTTCCACAGTAGACCCTTAATAATACGGGTGCCCTTTTTCCTTCTGTTTGATTTTAACAATACTGGGGAACCTAGACTAGTCATGATCATGATCTTACAACCTGCAACCTATTTCCTACGTCCCATGAGACTGTCGAAACCCGGCGGCAGCCTTTTCCCGCATTCATCGATCTGCACATGTCGCTTTGAGCGTCAGAGTCGTGCGCAATCGCCGAGATCTATTTAACAAACCTGCGCTCGTCTTGGCCTATTACCTCCTTTTAGGGTTTAGCGCCTCCAAACCCTAAGCCCTAAACCCCTGGTTTAGGGTTTAGGGTTTATTTGGGGTTTCGTCGACACCCTAGCTTCCCTCTATCTGAAGACCCGCCCCACACATATTGAAAGAGCAGTTGGGGAACCACACTCTAACATTGCCTCCACCCCACCGGGATGGTGGAAGCTTAAATCTGCGCCGTGCATTGGCATCAAGTCGGAAGGAGCTTCAAGCGGGCTCTAAACCTCGGAACCGATAACCACCTATACCCTGAACCCTAAACCCTAAACATTTACCCAATCCACGGAAGAAAAGAACCTCGACTCGCCTCTTACCTTTCAAAACACATAGGGGGTTTCCGAAAATAGGGGGACCCTAATATAGTACCTTGAATAGTAGGATCCTTAAATCAAGTACCCTTAATAGTAGGATCCCTATTATAAGGACCCCCAAAATAAGGTGCCCCACTTTTCGGAAAGTCCCACATTGAAATCCCACATGATGCCAAAAGAAATCGCATCGACAGAGCTGAGCCGAGACAACCCCGACGCCCAAAGAGGCCAACGAGTCTCTTCTACACGAGTCTCCTTAGGGGAGGGGCACGAGGGAAGCCGGAGAGGCGGTGCTTATATAAAAGGGGGTTTAGGGTTTAGGGCTTAGGGCTTAGGGTTTACTTTTTAAGGGTGTAGAGTTTATTTTTTAAGGTTTAGGGTTTATTTTTTAGGGTTTAGGGTTTATTATTTTAAGGTTTAGGGTTTGGGTTCAGGGTTAGGGTGGGGGCGTCGCGAGTTCCATCGTCGTGCGTTCTGCATCCACGAGACAGTTCAATGCCACCCCCGCTTAAAAACAAACCAAAAAAAATCACAACTTGGGACAGCTGGAATCTCTAACCTATCTCCCAAAAACGCATACACACCCCAAAACAACCGGTCAAGGTGTACTGGGTGCTTGGACCTGTCGGGCAGCTCGTCCTGCCTAGAGCAAGCAAAACACCGAATACCCCTAAACCCTAAACCCTAAGGCCGAA